AAAAAGGTCAGAAAACCCTATGTAGGATATAATCACAATTTTGATAAATAAATAAAAATCCATTGATTCATCCATTTACAAGAAACATGTATACCAAAATGTTCACAGTGGTTATCTCTGTGAATTCCAGAGATTTGTATTTTTAGTTATATTTTCTACTTATTCTAGAATGGACATTACTTGTGTCATTTAAAATATAATAGTAAGCAGACTGCAGAAAAGCATGTATTGTGTAATCAATCTCTTCCGTGTTTAAAAAAGGTATATATGTATATTTGCATGAGCATGAAAAATTTCTGAAAGGAAAGCCAAGGAAGTATTATCATTGGTTGCCTCTGGAAAGTGGGGTTGGGGAGGTTTTATTTCAGCTCTTTCTGTACTGCTAACTTGAAGTGATAATAACACAAGGGGGGTAAACAAACAAACAAAAAGCTCAATGTGCAATTGGAATAAGAACTCAGGCTTCCAAACACACAAGCCATGCCCAACAGCAAGGCATAGCCATCAACTTACTTATTGGCCATCTCAGTAGAAAACACATACACCACTTTGGCTGGAGTCTTCTGAACAGGTGTGGGCTCTGGGGCAGTAGTTTGGCCATGGGAGGGGGTGGAAGACCTGGGGGCTGTAGCGTTTGAAGGGGTCATCGAGTGTGGTGTGTGCTGGGAATCCTGGGACTTTATGTGATCAGCAGAATTACATTCTAAAAGAATGAAAAGACTCATCATCATAGAAGAATATGACTCCCTTTCTTCTGCCAGCATTTATAGCATCACAACACAAACCCACCTTGAGAATTTTAAGAAGGAAGTACCTCGCTAAGAGGAAGCCTTCTCTTCTACTCATAAAATTTCAAATACTCTTCTCCCTAAATGATCAATTATAAAGCACTTTTCCCCCACTCCTTACTTCTCTAACTATTACACATCCTTCACATACTAATGTCAATGTCCCTCCTTCCTGGAAACCTTTTTGAAACCTCTTGGACTTCACCGGATGCCCCTGCTACTGGATCTCATAGCCCTCCAACTTCTCTTATTTCAGCATTTATCAAATGTCATTGTAATTGTTTGTTTAATGATCAGCTTCCGAGGTGTACTCAAATGCTCGAGGACAGCAAGCGTGTCTGCCCTGCTGACCAGGGCGCCCCCAGTGCCCAGCATGGTGCTGTCACTCAGAACACCGGGGGAAGAAGGCAGCAGGAAGGAAGGAAGGAGCAACCACTCAGGTTTCCATTCGAATTTGGGCTGGGTAATGACACTTCCATTCTTGAATACTAACTTCGTGTTCTGGCCTACAGTTAAGATTTCGGGTCTTACACTAGGAGGAAAAAAGCCTAAAACCACAGCGATTGGTCCCATACCCCTTCTGGCTCACTCTACTCTGGTGCCTGCCAAATCTATAACACGTCTGGTAGCCGCTCATTCCTGCCACACTGGAATCAGCTGTGACAAACCTGGCCTGGTGCCAGGGCCATTAAGGCTTCCTCTGTGTCTACATGTCTGGCAAAGTGGCAACCAGAGAGCACAAAACTCAAGCCTTAGAGGATTACTCTGATGGAGAAGAGGAGGGGATGCCAGAAAAACTGCTCCAGTGTGGGCCAGTGGCACAACAAACTGTAGCTTGAAACTGAAGTACAAACAGTATGGAGGCCAGAAACATGCATAAGAACATGGTTAGGCCCGTGAAACACCCCACCATAGCTCCTAAACCACCTGCACCCTCAAGAGTGAGAACTTCTCAGCAAGGTGGTTCCAAACTATTCTTCAGTTATTAGCAAAATGAGAAGACTTAGTTGCATCATAAACCTGAGAAGTCCTGAATCTGAGACCCACTCTCCCCACTAGGCTGATTTTAGGCCCTCTGGCCTCCACCAAATGTCAGAGGCTTTCCCTCAGGAATACCTACTTCCCTCTGAGTCTCAAAGATCTTATAGACATACCTTTCATGTCAGAGTCATCGTTTGGAGTCCCAGGATCTCTCTGATCAAAGGAGTCGGCGGAAATACTTCGCTCCCTTTTCCCCTTGCCCTTGGCACCATTTCCAGCCCCATTCTTCAGCCCCATGCTCCCACCTGGGCCAGGGAGTGCTTTAGGGGTATGGCCCCCACTCTTGGAGTCACAGGGGGATGGCTGGGATTGGCTGGCTGAGCCCCCCTGTTTACCCTGATTGGAGAATTTGGAATCCAGCTGGGGGTTTCCAGATGGGGACATCACTGTAGGGGGACGGACCATCACCTCCTGCTTTGACTTAGGGCTACTAAAAGAAACAAATAACAAAGGGAGATCAGACACCAGATACTGCTGGTCAGCACAGATTAGGGAGAAGCAGCTTCTATCGTGGGGCAAAGAGACCCTCAGGACTCAATAACCACCCCATGTTTCACCTCGGCCACTTGTTTGTTCTCTCCGCCCCTGCTCCTATGTCAGAGCTATCAACAGAGAGGAAGATCAAGCAGAGTGGCCTGCCAGGTCTCAGAACCCGGGAGTCACATGGGGACCCATCTCTAGGGCTTTTGTCAATAAAGGACAACGGTTTCTATGTACATAGAGAAGTGACTCTTACACTAAGACTAGCTCAGAGTAAACAAACAGGCATCGTTAAGATCAAAATACTACCCAGCCCAGGCTGATGACAAGCAGCAGTTGTAGCAAGAGCCTGGCTTCCCTGCTGGAGAACACAAGCAGGTCTAGGAGAGCACGGGAGCTGGTGACTGTGAGGTTAGGAAATCATCCAGGATCCTAATCCCTCCCAACAAGCAGTATTACACCAAAGCAGTGAAGCCACCACTGCCCTCAAGGGGAGAGAAAACAATTTCTTTTAAAGTAACAATTTAAATACTGCGGAACAGAGGAAAAAGCTTCACAGTGGGAGTCCTGGGGCTGGTGTTTTAGTTCTAAAATGTCAGGCTGCCTCACCAGGCCTTAGTTTCCTTGTTTGCCAAGTTTGGCAGATTGTACTCATTGGCCCCTAAGGTCCTTTTGTCTGTGCTTTGTCAGGGACAGGGAGGAGAGAACAGGAATGGTGGACAAAAGAATAACCAAGGAAAACTCTCACATAAGCTTTGATTATACTGTAGCCTGTTTACTATTCCATTACTATTTACTAATCTATTATTTTTTCCTTTCCCATTGGGTTTCATTTGCTTCTAATTTAACACACTGTTCCACCAATGAGTGTTTGTGGTGCACCTATGACATCCTCAAGGGGCCTCGGTGGAGGCCCTAGCCCTTACCTCTGTGTGTTTCCTGATGGAGAGTTCCTCACTTTAGGGTTACTGGAATGCATTGATTGAAATCCTGAGCTTGCAGTCACAAACAGGGACGGGCTCACCGAGTTCCTCTCGGGCTGCAGCAGAAACAGCTGCTGGGGGCAGTGGCAGTGGCCCACTGCTTGCTGGGTGCGTCCCTTAGTGCTGGCCACCTGTATGCCTTTTTCCTCTTTGTTTTTCTCTGCTGTGGAAGTGGGTCCTTTCCCCTTGCAGCTCCAGCATTCTCTGGGTGTGTGCCTCCTGCTGCCAAAGGAAAATCTCGCATCTCCAGGGCACACTACAGGAAAAGGCCACCCAAAAAAAGTTGGGAGTGAAAACTCAGAGACATAAAACATCCTTATAACAGGATCAAGGTGAAAGCACTAGCCAAGTCAATAAAGCAGCAGCTAGATCATTCCTCAGGGTTAAAGGAAAGGGAGATGTTCCCATTCTGGCCAAAGGCTCTGGTGCTAGAGCAGCTGAAGGGAGACTAAGACTTCCGCCAGGTATGCAGGCCTCCCACCCGAGCAGCATGGATCAGACACGTGTGAGCAGGGCAGAAAGACAATTTTATCTTTAGCCATATATTCTCCCTTATATTTCTCTACTTCTAAATACAAAACCTTCAGAAACTTGTGTTTTTCTTTTTTAAAAACAACGCTTTGAGACCTCTGGGTAATGCAGATCCATAGGGACTATTTGGTATTTCAGCTCTGATGGCAAACAATGGCACTGAAATGTATCAAACCCACCCATTTCAAACCACGAAGCAAATTGATCTGTGTTTATATTTTCAGGGCCTCGGGGATGGGGGTACATGAAAGGAGGTACTTCTGAAATCAAATATTGAGCCAACACCAAATACAATCAGTTCTGCCCCCTGATTTCCATGATCTTTCTATTAAATTATGCTGAGTATGTGTCTCGTGTTCTCACTGCTTAATGACAGGGACTGCAGGCATGGCTAAGCATGGGAATGATCCATAATTTTGAAGGTAAAAGAACATCTTTGAAGGCTAAGATAATTTTTAAGCCAATTTGCAAGGCTAATTTGAAGCATAAAGGTCAAGAAAATATTCCCAAACCTAGCTAGAGAACAAATGAAGAGTCTTTTATTTAGGGAAGCCTAGACTAGTTGAGGCAAAACCAAGACATACTTTAAGTCTCTCCTCCCTCCCCGGGCAGTTCCAATATGGTTTCCTTGTAACTACTATCCCCTCACCTTCCCCACCCTCCAGCTTCTGGTATCTTACTGACAAAGTATGGAAATGAAGAAGGAGGATATTAGAAGCAGGATTAGTGACTAAAGAATCAAAGAGAGTTAGAAATAGTTCAGGTGTTCCATCTTACATTGCCTATGAGAGACTAGAGAACTGTACTAAAACTGGGAAGATAGGTTATATTCTAGGCTTTGGTGCTATGATCATTGCCAAGTGTTAAATGTCTATTTCTTCATACAGATGTTTGCAATGGTCCCAGCTATTTCGCCTGGAACATTTAAAGAAATTTATGGAAGTTCTGAGTATACTCAATTAAATTTTTTCCTTTTAAATAAAAAAAGTCAGGAAAAAACTAGAATAAAGAACGTCAGGAAAAAGCACGCTAAAACATATTTTGGTCTTGATTATATTTAAGGTTGTATTTTTATCCCCCACCAACTTCCAGTTTGTTTGTTTGTTTGTTTGGTTTAGACTAAGAAAATGGATTGTGGCTGTCAAGTTTGACATACATAATCATAACCCTTTTTGTAACCTCTCACTAAATGTTAGAAGTCACTGGTAAAATAGAAGTAGCAAATTAATCTTGCATGGACAAAGCCATCAGAAATCATTTACCTCAGGAAAAGAAAAGCAGTTACCACCTATACAGTCCCCTTCTGCAACTTCTGTTGGTACTTTTTGTCTGCATCGCACATTCTAGCACTCAATCGCATGCTGTATTGAGTAATCCTAGGTGTGTATTTTATCTCCTTGTGAAGACTATGTTCTTTGAAGACAAGAACCTTGTTTCAAGTTCTTTGGTTTTTCCATAATACTCAGCATGATGTACTAGGAATGTACTCAGATCCTGTGTGACTTATTCAGTGTCTCACAGAACAGAAACAACTGGCATTTGTGTTGTACTTTTCTTTCACAGAAACTCAAAACATATTACAAATATCAAATCACCTTATTAATCTGCCAGGCATTTATGATGAGCTGGTAGCAAAGATTATTTCTAATAATGCTGTGAACATAAACGCTTTTATTTTCAAAGTACTTCTACATATAGTTTCTTAGTCTCACGATTCTCCCGACCTTGATCGACAGGCATTTTACAGATGAATGAACGGAGCACATGGGGCATGAACGACTTCTCCTAGGTTTCCAAGCAGTGCTCTCAGACCCGGGCTCTTTCCTGCAAGCCACGCCCCTTACTGCTGCTTTATGGATGGAGAGACAGCAGAGATTGAAACAAGCATGTGAGCTCACCCAGGGACTAGGAATAAAATCTAGGTTTTCTAATCCCTAATCCTAGGAAGTTGTTAGAATAAATCATCCTTAGCTTTGGCCTTTCTGACAATAAAAACAACTGAGCAAAAAAATCTGCCAAGTACCTTATGATGTAGTTCCCAAGAATAAAATTAGGCTCTTCAGCAGATCAGTGCTCAACTGTTTACCCAAAAGGACTGGAAAAGATTTTCCACAGTATCGTTACAGTCAGAGATCATTTTCCCCCCCAATATAACTAAATCTCCTAACTCTTTAGATTTACTTATGCTTCTCTCTTCACTTCTTCAATAATACTTAAAATATTTACTATGTGTCAGGCATTGTTCTAAGCCCTGTTCATATGTTAACTCATTCACAATGCTATAAGGCAGGTACTACTACTATCCTTATATTACAGATGAGAAAACTGAGGCTCTGAAACGTCACATAACTTGCCCGCGGTCACATCCTAGTAAGTGGCCCCAAAGTCTGTGTTCTTCATCACTGTACTGCCTGTCAAAGCAGGGACTTGTGGGCCAGGTGAGCTAGTTCATATGAGCAAAAAGTGCTCAGCAGTGTAACATCGGCACTCCAGTAACTATTACTATGACTACGACCACTCTCTGGCAAGCTCACTGGCTTATTCTGCCTGATGCCCTGTCATACCTTCTACATCTCCTATCCATCCACCTTTCCTCCCCTACTTCCCACTCCCACAGTGTGGTCTTGCCCAGTACTTAATAGGAAGAGATGTCACCGGGCAGGAAGTCTTCCTCACTAACTATGTAAACCTATTTTCATTAGTACCTAGCCCCTCTTTCCTCTCTATTGCTGAAACAAAAAATATACAGCCCACTTTTTCCCAAAGGTCAGTCCCACTAAAGAGTACTAGGCCCCTCTCTTCCAGCTTCTGAGAGCGCTCACCTTCTCCTTTGACCGTTCCCCTCTACCTCCCGTGTCTACCGTAACTTTCCAATCAGCATTCAGATCACTGTAGTATCTTCCAGGGTAACATAAAAGAAAGAAAAATTAAAACCAAAGCCCAGCTCCAGCATTCTATTCCCCTTCAGAACCAAGTTTCTCTACAGAGTACACAGGACACACAGTGTTCCCTTTCTCATTTGCCATTCACCCTTTAGCCATTTTAAACCAACTTCTACCCCCAGATCACAGGAATCACTATTTTTGTCAAGGTCACCACTGGCTACTTTTCTAGCCTCATCTTACTCCATCTCTTAAATTCTGCCAGGTGCTCACTCGCTTCTTGAAACTCTCTTCTCTTGGTTTCCCTAACACCACACTTTCCTAGCTTTCCTTCTACCTCTCCAGTCATGCTTTATCTGCTTCCTTTCTGGGCCCCTTCTCTATCCAATCTCTAAAATTTAGAGTTCCTCTGGACTCCTCTCCTCTCATTCTGTAAGGTCTCTCCATGCCAACAACTCCAACATTTATATGTCCAGCTCTGCTTGGCTTTGCAGACCTGTATACACAACTGCCTGCTTGACATCTCCCTAGATGTCTCAAACTTGACAGGCTCAAACATAAATTCTTCATCTCTGTATATATAGCCTTCCTCCCAAAACGATTTTCCCTTCAGTTTTCCACATTTTAATAAATGGCTCCTTTATCCACCCAGTTGCTCATGCCAAAAATTTAGAGTCATTCTTGACACCTCTCCTCCTAAGCCTGAACCCTCCCAATATCAAGTTTGAATATTTTTGTTGAATGAAGGTAGTCTCAGCTTAAATGTTTCTTCTCCAGAAGAAGGTTTCCTTAATACCACCAATCTACATGAAATTCTCTGTTACATTCTTTTCATAGCATCCTGGGTTTTTCCTTCATAAAATTGTTTATGTTTTGTAATTATATGTGTTAATTATGTGATCATTTGTATAATGTTCATCTCTTCTATTAGATCATTGCTCCATGAAGGCAGGGACCATGACTGATTTTTCTGTACACCCAGCACTTACTATAGTGACCAGCCCATGGTATTTGCTCAAAAAAATTTGTTGTTATCCAAAGGGAATGAAATTAGTATGTTGAAGAGATAGCTATACTCCCTTGCTCACTGCCCCATTAATTACAATAACTAAGATATAGAATCAACCTAAGTGTCCATCAATAGATAAACAGATGAAGAAAATGTAGTGTGTGTGTGTATATATATATATATATATATATATATATATACATACATATACACAACGGACTACTATTCAGTCTTTAAAAAGAAGGAAATTCTGTCATTGGCAGCAACATGGATGAACCTGAGGGACATTATGTCAAGTGAAATAAGCCAGACATAGAAAGACAAATATACCACGTGATCTCCCTTATATGTGGAAGCCAAGAAAGTTGAACTCATTGGAGCAGACAGTAAAACGGTGGTTACCAGGAGTTGGGGACTGGGGGGAGCAGGGCAGCGGTGGGCTTGGGTAACGTAAAGAAAAAGACATTTGTTGAATAAAAGGGCGGATCCTGTTTCAGTCTTTGAAACAGGATCCGCACTTTTCACCATCATCTTCAGAATCATTTGATTCATCAGCTCGGAATGGAAAACGAGTAGCTTTTCCCCAAGATCATCCTTCTATGCCAGGCCTGTGCCCCCATGCTATCACCCATCAGTCTACTCACCAAAACCCCAAGGGTCACGACACAGCAGTATTCATCCTGGAGGTGAGGAGTCCAGGAACCCCTTGCTCAAAGGTGACCCTCACCTGGAAGAAAATAAAGTAAAGGAAAAAAATTCCTAAGTGGATTAAAAATATATATATATATAAATTGTCACTGAATATCTTAAGAGAAAAACAGGGTTCTTATTTATTCTAGAATATTAGTTTATGAGGAAGTTGTCATCGCTCACATAAACAGAATCAACTCCCAATTATTACAGAGTATATATCCAATCTGTAGATATTTCAAGGCTCTTTGGCTTTCCCTTCTTCCCAACTGTACATTTTATTTTCAGAGGTTGGAGAAATACTAAGTACAACTAAAGTCAATTTTTCTACTTAAATTTCTGGGCATTTAGTAGGAAAAAAACCCATACATTTTGCTTCTGCCCATTCCTTATTAGTACAGAGAATTGAGGACTGTTAAGGTGAAAAGAGATAAAATTTTAGATGTACTTTTGAATTTACAAAGTGAAGATCACTCACAGTTCCTCCCTACTCTCAAGTGTAACTCTACATGGCAAGCATCTAGCAAGAAAATTTATTTTCATACACTTTTGGGGGAACTCAGAGCTGAACCACCTGGCTAGATGATTTCCTCTTATTCAGTGCCTACTATGCGCAAAGCATTGTACTGAATTGAGCTAGATTAAGGCAATAAAACACACAGTTACTGGTCAAGCAGAACAATTTCTAACATTAGTCCTTATAAACCAGAGTTATGACACTGAGCCTCCCACTTTGCCCAGAATTTACAGTTTTGAAATTGCAAGGGAGAACCAAGTTCCAGACTGTCTTAGGGCTAAATTATTTAGGAATCTTTAAAAGAATTTCTAAATAGGGTTGCCATACATTGTAAGTAAATCTACAAATTAATCTGACCAAGCTCAGAATCACCTCTACAATTCCAATTTCAACTCTTCCAATGATGCTTTCCCACTTCCTTGCTCTAAAAAGTCAAGTTTATTAGAACTATGTCATGTTTAACAAATTTCATTTCTATGCTATGACCACTACTCCATAAAAGGCATAGTATCAAACTTAGAATGTGGAACTAAAAGGCTTCAGGATTCCATTCCTAGCTCATTCTTAACTTCTGGCATGCCAACTACTAAAAGGCTTCCTTCAGAAAAAGTACACAATAGGAAGAACCAATCTTTCCCCAACATATGGAGAAAAGCAAACTATACAACGGGTGTGTATAGAAAACCTTGGTCTAAGAAAAATATTAATGTATACTTTGGTACTCACGGGGTGAAAATGCATCTATTGTCCTTCAATAGCTAACAAACTTTAAGTAAGCAAATAAAAATTTGTATCAAGCTAAAGAGTTTTGACAGAATGCAAGCATTTGAAAATGAATTTCAACTATTATCATTTAGAATAATGGCTACCCAAAGTAATATTTCAGCACAAATGTCCCTTCTCTGTAAAATTCTCCTGGATTACCAACTATCCCCTGTATGTCTTCCTTGGCCCCATAGCATTATATTCACGACATTATTGTAACACTTACAAAAGCACACTCCTGTTATATATAGACAGGAAACTCCCTGAGGGCAGTATCATTCATCATTTCAGCACCTGACACTTGGTAGAAACTCAACAAATGTTAGTCAATCCATGTATTATAATGAGCTTGGGGCTTGCATATTGCTACCCTTACCTTGCATTCACCCAAACCAATGATGACATGATAAATACTTGTTTAACTTCTCACTACCTGACTTTCTTCTCAGCCCTACAAGATGAATTACTGTACAAGTCTCTGCTCACAAAAAGGTATAAAGTAACTTATATAATAGTTTTGACTTGCATTTTTGCCTTGGAAACTACTAGAATAGTAAACAAATGTAGTTTTTTTTTTTTTTTTGAGACAGAGTCTCGCTTTGTTGCCCGGGCTAGAGTGAGTGCCGGGGCGTCAGCCTAGCTCACCATATCAGGAAAAAATTAAAGTATGCATTGAAAAATGTCCATTATCAGCACCTAGATAAAAGTCCTTTCACAGAACAGATGCAGTTATCAAACAGAATTGTAGTTATTTTTTTTATGCCAATTATCATTCAACTTATGAAGCAACTCCTTTCACTGTTTATTTTATTGTCCTGATGGTTCATTTTTCCTCTCCTAGCTTCCATAACAAGACACATAATTATTACTCTAATGGCTTCTCTCTCTTTCTGCATGTGAACACACACCCTGCACACACAGAAAAAGAATTTCAGTAAAAATTGTATATTCTGTTTACATTTGTTTGTTTCCTTCTCTCCATGTTCTCTTCTCCACACACCACAACTTGCCTATTTCCTACATGTGTATAATATGGGTGTAAAAATATCTGTTGGTAGTCCCATTTCTGCCAGTGACTTTGCAGCTTACTCAAGGTTAGCCATTGAACCTTCTGAATCTCAATATTTCCATCTGTAAAATAGGGATAATAATAACCACACTATCCATTGCAAGAAACCATGTGAGGACCTAATTACATAAATTATATTTTTGCTACATTTCATAAATGTACTACTTTTAACAACATTGAAACACCAATGCTTAGTGCCTGTTGATGTGTCTTCAACAATTGTGCATTTTACTAGCTAGAAAACACAGAATATTAGCAAAAGTCAGCTTCTTTCTTGTTACTGGGTACTTTGAGGAAAAGATGAACTGTCAGGAGTATACGGCTAAGTCTCTCCTCTTTTGTTATTTCCTTTATAGTTCTCTTAAATACGAGGAAAAATTTTATTGCTTTTCCCAAGCACATCTGCATTACATTCAAGACATAGAATCTGAGGATATCTACTTGCTTTCCTTTCCTCACTTAGAATAAGAGTGTTCCAGAAAAATGGTAGCTGCATTTCCACATGATTATGATTATTCCATATTCTCTATTATTCCTTGCTTATAGAAATATGCATGTATTAATAAAAATTAATTAAAACAGTCTTTTACTTTGGTCAATGAAAAGATACCAAACCTAGGAAGGAATGTTAGCTGAGTTAAAGCTTCCATTTTGTTCTTCAGCTGATTACCAGATAATTCAAGATGACTTTTCAGTTTTTGTTTTTGTTTTGGGATGCAGTGAGCGCATTAGGGAAAAGGTTGGAAATTATGTGAATGATGTTTTGGCAAAGATGAAATGTTTAATGGCATACTTATCTAGATAATTATAGTAATTCTCCAATCTACTTTATATGTGTAGATATAATCTCAAAAAAGTCTGCCTGAAACAAGCATTCCTAAGTTGTTCTGGAGTGTGTTGTCTTA